TTACATTATTTAAACTGCTTGGCCATTAGCTCAGGCCTATCATTGTCTAGCTCTTACTCTTATATTTAGCCCATTTCTATTAATCTATACTTTGCCACATGGCTTGTGGCTTACTGGTACCTTACATCTTGCTTGTCCTGGCAGCGGCTCCAGGCAGTCTCCCTCTGCCTTCCTGTTCCCTCAATTCTCCTCTCTGTTAGTCCTGCCTATATCCCTGTCTGGCTATTGGCCAATCAGTGTTTTATTTATATAGAGTGATATCCACAGCACTCATACTTCATAGTAAAGAAAGGGGATTTTAAAAAGTAATAAATGGGACTAAAGAGATAACTCAGCAGTTGGGAGCATGTATTGCATTTGAGGAGGACCTGAGTTTTGTTCTCAGCACCTACATCAGGCGCTCACGACCACCAGTAACTCTTGCTCCAAGAGATCCAACACCTTCTTGCCTGCACAGGCACTTGTGTGCCTCTCCTGTGTATGCATGCATGCAAGGTTAAAGATAAAATAGTTTTTTAAAGGAAATCAATAAAACAAATAAAGGAGTATAAATTCTGGAGCCCACAGACTCCTTTAAAGGTTACCCCAACTTGTGCTCCTTATTAACAATGTTTCTTGAAGGAGCCACTTCAGTTTCACAATGTTTGGTTACTGTTTTTTTTTTTTTTGTTGTTTTTTTTTTTAATCTGTGAAGTAGAACTAATCACAAGATGGCCTCCTACTTGGTGAATGGACTAAGTGGCATTGGTAGATACACTTTTTTCACTATAAAGTGCTTCAACATTATCAATATAGTCTAAGCCTGTTCAAGAGGCATTTCCAGGAGGATTCTGATGTCAAGAAAAAAATCTGGAGAGAGACTCAGCAAACCCTTTCAGAAGAAAGTCTGTATATGAGTGGAAGTTAAGCTGGTGAGATGGACCAATCAGTAAGGACAGTTGCTATCAAGCCTGATGACCTCAGTTCAATCCCTGGTACCCCAGGGTAGAAATAGAGAACCAACTCCAAAAGCTATGTTCTGACCTCTGCATATGTGCTCTGGTGTACACACACACACACACACACACACACACACACACACACACACAAAATTAATTAATTAGATAGATAGATAGATAGATAGATAGATAGATAGATAGATAGATAGATAGATAGACAGACAGATAATTGCGTGAATCCTAGGTCCAGCTACTGGGCTAGTTGCTAGCTCTGATGTTCTCTAGCTCTGAATTAGAAACAAATTAATTAAATTTTTTGTGCCTCAGTGTCTTCATCTATAAAAATGGAAATTAAGAATGATTCCTTCCAGAGTTATAATATGTAACATCACATAACAACAAAGGAACAGTGATATGGGTGACGGATTTTAGCCAGGTGACTTGAAAGTGAGAAGGTCATTCTACATCATCTCAATGGATTCAGTCTAGCCACGTGAATCCTTAAATTTAGAGATAACTTTCATGGCTGCGGAGGAAGAAGAGATGAAAGAAGAAGAAAAATAAGATTGCAATATGAGATTCAACCACTATTCCCGACTTTGTAGGTGGAAGAAGGTGGCATACTCAATAAGAGTATGTTGAAGATCTGTTATACATAGCACATAATCCGATACGCTGGGAAAGAAAGCAGACTCGCTGTACTCTCTTGTCTCAGTGAATGTGCAGAGAATCATTTACAAAGAATATGCAAAGATAAGTATGACCAGAAATAAAATAACAAAGGAGACCATAGCTGAATTCTGTGATTCTCTTCATCCATTGTTTACCTAAGAAGGAGGCTGCTTGAAGCCCTGAGACTAAGGGTTGAGGGGATGTCATTGCTAAAGGTAGGCTGTTCTTTCAATAAGCAGATCTTGATCCTTGGGAAAAGCAAAGGGGAATGAGCCATGGCATTAGCCCTTAGGGATTGCATCAAGATTTTAAAACTCCCCTAAGGGGAGAGACTGTGGCAGGCTAAGTGGAGGCAACAGTTCCGAAGAGTGTGACGTTCTGACTATTGACTACAGCTAGGAAAAGTGAAGAGAGGGAAATGATTTTTGCAGCCTGGCTGCACATCAGAAACCCATGGGAATGTTCCACAGACAGGTTCCTAAGCATCTATGTCAGAAATAAATAGACTGTCCCCCAAATTCCTAATGGATCTTGATGCAGTCTGAGGATCGGGAAGTCGTAGTGTGGGACAGACAGTGCACAGGTGAACTACAGAGTGAGCGTCAGACCACGGGAAGGAGCTGAGCACTTGTTGGCTGTGGGCCTGGCAGGAGGAGGCGGCTCCCTGCCAGAGGGATTCATGGGGATGGCTACAAAGATAGATGTGTGCCTAGAAGGTGGGACAGGAAGAAGACAGGACACGAGCAAGAGCCCACTGGATTTAAAATTCCTGAGGACAAGATGATATCCACTACCCCCACCCCAGGGTGCCCAGTACTGTGACACACAATGAACTAAAACAAATAAATAAATAAATATTTAAAAAAAACCTGTTCACTAAATGCTTAAGTAATTATATACGACATGAAATCTGGAAAGCAGGGCTGGAACAGGAAAACAGAGTTTCACCAAAGCAAAATAACCAAATTTAAAAGGATGAAAGTTTTGAGGGGAGTGATGAGTTCACTTTCAGACTTACTGGGTTAAAAGGCATGATAAAAATGGATCAAAGTATGCAAGGGAAATGTGTAGAGATGGCTTGTGGGGCTCCTGCACCTCAATCCTGGAAACTTTGTCAACCCTTCGTGTTGTATTTGCATGTGACTAGCAGACTAAAGTATGAACTGTGCTTCTGACAGGTTACATCTGCTCTGGGGACTGCTGAATGTCACTTGAAGGCCCCTGTGTCGGCTTCAGAGAACTCCTGTTGAATGACAAAGACGCTGAGAACAGTAAGTTCAAGTGGGGAACAGTGTGGGAAGAATGGGCCTGTGAGGCCGGCCATCCTCAGCGAAAACAGAAAAGCAACAGGGTAGGAAGATGTACTCCCAGAATTCAGTTAGCTGCCAGCTCCGACTCCACCTC